TGTCTTACATCACTTTCATATTTGAGAAAAATATAGGGCTTAATTTGTATTAAAACTGTACCCTCTTCTTTCAACCAACTAGTATTTGGGAATACTAACATTATTTGTCTTTATTTTCCAACAAACATTAACACTTCGTTTTTAAAAACAGCTCAGGTGGATTGAAAATGAATTCAAACTAGAATTTCAATCTAATGTTTTATCGACCGTCCGCGTCGAATTGTACTCGCCCATTCCATTGTTAATCATTAAATGTTTCGACTGTAACAGATAGAAATGACGTAAGCTGCATATTTCCAATCTTGCCAGTTAATGTTCCTCGGTCTTATGTGAGATGAGCTAGACTAACTCTACAAGAACTGTAAATAATTATGACAAAAGGGACAACTATAACAAAAAAAAAGACATGTATAAAGGAGAAGTTATCAATTTTGATCAATAAAAGCCCGTGACTTTGATGGGCTATAAGTCTCGGTTTGATTTCAATTCAGATATTGGCAATGCTAAAGGAATTTAATTTAAATATTTTAATTGTTTAGGGATGATTTACAGCTGGTTTAACTAAGTAAATCTCACTGTGGTTTTCATATGAGTCGTAGTTTTACCATATAAAACCGTCAAGTATTAATATGAATTAAATAATTTAAACACTCAAATAAAGGTATCTGGGTTTTACAATTTTGTAAAAATAAACTGAACCTACATATTTTTATGACCATATAATAAGTTAAAGTAAAAGCTTAAATACTGCAGCAATAAGGTGACCCCCGTGACGCAGTTGTTAGAGCGTAACTTGCATTATGGGTTCCACTGAGGGATGTGGAGTTCGGTCCTTGGGGTAAAATCTACATATATGTATTAACTAAGTTCCCGTTTGCATGTAGATGCTGCCTGGAAAAAGATTCGTCACTGCTGAAGGTCTTTCCACCTTCACAATTTTAATAGTTTAATGGTTCAAAATACAAACACTGCATTAATTGTCACTCGATATTTTTAATATACCAATTATTGCAAAATATGAATAGGTTGCCATGTTATTTAAGATAGGAGAAATAGATTAATAGAAGTATATGTCAACATAAAAAGTGCTAATTTTTTGTAAACAGTATTACAAAAATTATGTAAAAACTAGTTCAAATGCATTTTTCTGATGCTGAAGGTCCCGAAGCACTTGCTACTTATCAAAAACTTTTGAATTGTGAATAACATGGAAAAATTTTTACGTTAGTTCAATTAAGAAAATGCCAGGATGAAGATACCTGAGACGGAGTTATCGCCCTTTTGAATATCTTTTTTAAAGATTATATAATGAATTAAATAAAGAAAATATTCACATTTTTAAATTCTTTTGCTTAGTAATATTTATCAATACACCTTTTGAAAAGCATTTTTCCAAGAAGCATTGTTCTATTGCTTAAAAATTTTAATTAATGGCAGTTTCTGGACAAACCGATGACATTATAGGAGGATGGAAATACCTTAAAGTCTTTAAAAATATCTTCTTTTGGACACATACTATTTTGGACTCCATATTGTACTTCAAATTCATTTCAAATTTATTAATAATTTCATAGAATAAAAGATGGTTTCAGTTTCATCAAGTTTTACGACAAAAGCAATACTTTACTTCAAAATAAAATGCATTAAAAAATTTTAAAAAAAACATAAAAGAGGATTGAAAGCCAAAGTCTCGAGTCGCAGTAGGTGCTGGAACTAAAAAGATTCCTCACTGCTAAATGGCCTTCAGTGCATAGCCCTTCATCGACAGGTGGTTTTGTCTTAATATAAGTGAGAAATTCAACAAACAAATATATTTTCAGGTTTTTATTTGTACATATTTTGATGGTAGTAGGAGGAAAATATTGAAAATAATTTTCAAGGTGCATTAAAATTGGGACAAAATCAACGCACTTTGAAAATTTTTCAAAGTGCGTTAAATTTGGGACCAACTCAACGCACTTTGAAAAAAATTTTCAAAGTGCGTTAAGAGTCTACATCAATATATTTTAAAATGAAGACACTTAACGCACTTTGAAAAAAATCATATTTTAGTCATGGAAAGATTTTATTTATTATTTATCTTTCAAAAAACTAAGCCTAACCCTAACCTCAAAAATGAATTGATTTACTCCCGTTGAAAAGAGGAGAAGACGGGTATAAGATCCCTCAGTCCAAATCTTTATCTTTCCAATACATAGGTGTCGGTAACAAAGGAGGGAGGAGAGCAATAAACCTAAAAAGGGTATGCTGCATTTTCAATGCTTATACAATGTATATATCTTTCCAATATAAGTGGGGGGCTTAGCCCCCCATCCCCTCCCCTGGCCCTTCGCCCAGTCTCGATGTCTATGCTATACTCAAAGCGTTCATATAATTATGTATTTACCTAACTGGTATGACGTTGAAAACTTTCAATAATAAATGAGTTAATTAGAACAGATGAAAACTAGAAATTTTTAAGTACAGTAAAACGTATGAGAGAGAAAGAATTTTCTTAGTTTTGAACAATCAAATTGGACCCTTTTTATTATGATAAATGCTAAGTTGCTTGAAGCTGTCCTCTGTTAGTGCCCCCTTTACACTTTTACATCTACTTATCAAAGACTAGAATTAAAAATAAGAAGAAACGAATTCATGAACTTAAACAATCGCTTGGACTCTTGAACTCACTCTTTTTTTCAAGATCCTTTAATTTTCCCTTTTATTTCATCGAAACCTGAAATATTTAAAACGTCAATATCTCTGGTCCTACGGTGACTTTATCATAATAAAGTTATCAAACCAGGATCTGTTATTTATCATACCGATTATTTGAAGGTATATTGATCAATCTTTACATTTTTTTCAAAGTGCGTTAATATGGTTGATATAAACTCACTTTGAAAAAAAATTATTTTTTTCAAAGTGCGTTAGCTTGGTCCCAAATTTTAACGCACTTTGAAATTTTTTTTCAAAGTGCGTTGTCACAGCGCATCATGCGCAAAAAATATTTTATGTCAAGTAAAATGTATATAAAGTAATTTAAACTGCTATTTTTACACCCTGATAATTGAAATCCTGAGTATGTAAACTTTACTCAAAAAATAGGACCACAAACAGCTTGAACCTGTGACAACATTTCATATTTATATACAGTGGTAGACGGGAAGGGTGTACTTCCTTTTGCTTCGTTTTTTATGGATATGGATTGTTTGACTTACATGTAAATAGGTTATAACACTATCTTCCATGTAATTATTGCCTATTTATTTAGACTATTAACGACTTTGAAAAGAGACGTTTATGATTTAATTGAGAAGCAGTAAGGAGTATACTGGTGTCTCATAATATCGCGGTACTTAATCCTTTTGCATAAAAAGTTTTATTCCAGTTTTTTACTTTAACTTTCATCAAATACTATCCATAAACCATACTATGGCCTAACCTTTTTGTGTTAAATTATTTCTCAAGCTTGCATTGTTTAATTTCTTGTCTATTTTTAAAACGGAAAGTCTTATTTACCTCCTAAACTGGAGAGTCTCATAGTATCGCGGTATAGGAAAACAAGGAAATTTGTGGCTGACATGGACTTCACTTTTTATTTTTATATTTACGGTGTAATTCTACATAAAAAATAAGCAATTATACAAACTAAAGACTTTCGAAACATGAACTTTATTATGGCTTTTACTAGGTTATAAAATTAATGATCTAAATATGATAAAAACGGGAATTGAAATCTGTAAAATTAAATTTTATTTTAATTAAAAAAAAATTACAGACGCATGTTCCATACTTTTTAATCATCACAAAAGTTTACATTCGGACGAAAAACAGATAGTATTTTAACAGAAAGGATATGAGCTGTGTATCTGAATTTTTGGAATATACCGCGATACAATGGAACCTGCGATATAATGAGAAGCGAGTATGCATTTTTTTCAGAATTAAGTATTTATCTTTTGGATTTATGTTCATCTACAGTCTGCAAATATTTAGAGTTTCGTTTGCAAAGTGTTTTAAAAATCTTAGAAATGTTACAGATTTTTTAATAACGTGGACATTGTGTTTAAAATGTATATAGAGCAGACTCGTATCTGAGTACATAAAAAACTTCCTTTATTTCGGCATTTTTAAAAACAAAATCAACATAAAAAGAATATTCCTTGTATCAATTTTGTTTTAAATCTGTTAGTTCAATACATATTTTAAGAATCCTTAAGTAATGAGATTGCTATAACACAACCATTACCATTCTTTCCTGACGGTTCACCGCAAATCTATGGAAAATGCATGTTTAAAAAGCTTTTTATTCTATATTGTATTATTTTATGCTAAGGAAGCAAAATGAAACACTCAGATGCAAAATATTTATTGTAAGGATAATCCAAAATATTTACTAATGCTTCACACAAAAATTGATACGTTTGTTAAGCAAGTGCATAATAAAAAAAATCTGACATCAACAAATAATAGCAAATTAAAATTCAAAGTACATGTATAAAATATATATTTTAAAATGTTTATAAAATCAAATCATCACAACGGTGAAATACTCTCTGAGAATCATATACTGACATTCTAAATTAAAAATCATAAAATATATATACATTGGCTCCTGGGTTCAAAAAACTGTTAATATGAAAAAAACACGTATTTTTGTAAAACAGTGATATAAAATAGATTAATCTAATGAGAAATAAATCATGACCAATGTTTTAAAAGGAGTTTGTAAATATACAACTACACATTTTCATGACAACCATCGAAATGAGGTTAACTTTTTGATATCAACTCAGGCAATGCTTCACAAACGTTTGTATTAAATTTAATCTTCAGCCATTTTTGCAGAAGAATTGCGAAGTATTTTCACATATTTTAATGACTGATTTACAATGACAAAGTCCCGAAAGTACCTATCTTGATCGTTCACAAAACTTTTGCAAACTCTACTGCTAGTTACGTTGTAGCTAGCACGGTTTCCCATACCAATTTCTAATGAATGCAATGCTGCATGGAGGTCAAAGCGCATAGTCCATTGTCAATTTTGTGTAATGTGATAGTTCTCCAAAACTGAAAGCCTCTTCCTCTTTTCTCACAAGTTCCAAGCAGTCGGAAATAACTGATAAACCAATCCAAGTTTCATTCAAGAATTCAGTCGGTGCCTTTGAAATAGAATCAAAATATAAATTTTATACATGTATTTACATGAAAAGTTTATAAACTGGAAAAGAGAGAGAGAGGAAGAATCGAACTTATTATTTGATAATGAAAAAAAGCAGTAAAAAAAATACCTCGGAAATATTTGTTGTTGGCAAAATATCTATTTCTACTTCTGATAGCCTATCTATTAAGTGAGCGTTTGTTATTCTTCTTACTGTTGGCGATATCTATAAAACAGAAATAGCAACTTTAAGAATCTTTTTAAAACTTCCTTAAATGTAGTAATATGGAATAAAATGTTAAAATTATTATACGAATAATGACAAATACTGAAGACTGAAACAAAAAAGGACAAAATTCCTTAGGAATATTCAATGCCTAAGTAAAAGTTTTAAACGCCTTTTCTGTGCATCCAACTTGATTTTTTTTTAAATATTTAAAACACCTATTCTGTACTTTTAACTTATACGAAACCCAATCTCCTTGTGTCTTGATAAGTTTTATTATAATAATAGAAAATGACCTCACAAATACTTACATATTGTTCTTTTAATTGTTTTGCAGCGTCGATAAATTTAATTGACTTTGATTCTAGACTCTGAATAACTTCTCTTTCTGAGATGCTGGCTCCCTGGATTTGTGAGGAATGGGGCAGTGTTTTCTGTGAACATGATTGATGGAAATGATCTGACGTCACAACATGTATGACGAAACAGAGCAATCCTGAAATAGAGTAAAATAGAAACATATATAAACATAGATTTTAGCAGACATGACATATGTTTTTATGTGATTTATTGACCACACTGTATATCATCTAATTGCAATTTAAAAGATGTGGCATTTTCTAAAGTTTGTTTTAAGAATATTGCTATTCTTATATTTAGTACATGTAAATTACGCTATAGAAAATTACAAAAACCTAAACTTTTCACAGAGGCGTCTTAAAATGGCATTGAAGTACATTAATTTTTAACAATTTTTTTTTTTGGGGTACAATAATCATAATTTCATGCCGAGAATAATTAAATACCATATAAGTGCCATTAATGTAATCAAAGAACATGTTTACAGTTTTGAAATTTAAGTTGTGTTTGTGTTATATATAACACATGATTGTTATTCTAAGCTTGAAGAAACCCGACCAAATTGAATTCTTCTATATCAGTGTACAAGGGCCGTTCAAAAATTTCATTTGGCAAAATTTTTTATTTGAAAAAGATTCTCCTAAAAAAACTGCTGTGTTGATATCGTTGATGGAGAGGTTCGGAGCTCGACAAAAAATTTGCAACAAAAACATGCGGAATCCAAAATTTAACCCATTAATTTTTTATAATTCGCGCTATTTTTTGACATTTTTCTCATATGTATCCTTATATTGTTCTATTATTATGTATTAAATTTCTAGCGTGATATTTGAAGTAGTAACAGAAACTAGAGGTACTGTGAGCAATGAGCTCACTAAATGATACCCCCGCCTCCCATATGAATAAAATGGCAGTGTCCATGTTTTGCTCTGGAAAATCCAAAATATATGTCAGATCAAAAAGTAAAATAGGAGGTGCACAATGGCAATATGTAATAAAGATTCTGTGAAAGTTTCATTAAATTTGCTTCAATGGTATGAGAGGAGTTGCGGATAAGAGATGGGTACCCCAAAGCGTTACAGACGGACGAACAGACTTAACATTACTATATACCCTCCCGCTTTTCAAGCGAGAGAGAGAGAGAGGGGGGGGGGGGGGGTATAATAAAATGATTTTTCTACGATGCGATGACTTTGAAAATGACGTCTCCTAAATTGTTAAGGTGGAATGCCATACCAACTTTTTATTTTATAGATCTTTGAGTCATCCTTTTTAAACAATGGTTCCAGCATTGAAAGACCAATTTTAGCTCTTAATTATTTTATATTTATTTTATTTTATTTTTGTATTTTTAAAAAGAAAATGAAAAAAAATTATTTATATCCAAATAAGATGTTTTCGAGTAAAATGTTTGCTGTAATTGAATTCATCATATGAATATCTAATAAAATATCTAAAGAAAGGCCGGTTAGACTTTTTATTTCTTTTTATGAAAAATATATATGAAAAAAAACGCATTATTTGGGAATATTTTTTAAACCTATGGTTATAAACAACATAAAACGACTCACAACTAGGGATAAAATGTTTGTCAATCATATTTTAAAAAGAAATGACATTTACAAAATTTAGAAAAATGTTTTTGGATATTTGGACCTAAACCAATCAAAATTAAACTGATCCCGAAAAAAATTAACAAAAAATGAATAAAATTCTAATTTATCGCCTCTTCATGCATCCACAATAAAAAAAAACTATTTGATTGTCAAGTTCATCGTTTTAACCCTTATTACACCTAATCAGACTAGTGATGGGGAAATGTTATTTATTTCCAATAATTTTACAATTATGCTTAGAATTGGTTTAATTTTGATCGGGATTGGTCAAAATTTAAACAAATTTATTTCTCTAATATTTGGCTATTTCGTTTCAATTTCTTTTGCAAATATGATTAACAAACACTTGTGACTGGTTTTAAGAAGATTTTAACCACAAGTTTAACAAAAATATTCACAAATTATGTTGTTTATTTTCATAAATATTTTTTGAATTTAAAATTTTTAATATCTATACGGTTTTTCTTTACATATTTTATTAGGTATTCATTTGATGCATTCATTTACAGCAAATTTTTTTTAAAGAAAGCATCTAAATTTGGATGTGAATAATTTTTTCAATTTTCTTTGAAAAAAATACCCCAAAAAATCATACAAAATAATTCAGAGCTAATGTCGATCTTTCAATGCTGAAACCATTGTTTATAAAGGTGACTCAGAGGTCTTTAACATAAAAAGTTGGTGTGACATTCCTCCTTGAATTATGTGTAATGCTCGAGATATCGTCAACATAGATCCAAAATATGTATTATAAAACATGTAGTAAACTAGGGTATTCGTGATATTTGTCTATAAATAGCAAATTGGAACCCTTTGACCTCTGTAAATAGGCTATACGGGAGGAGGGGAAGATTATCGACGAAACCTTGATCCAGACTGAAAAGAACGTGATTGAGAGTGACCAATGTCACACTATATCCCATTAATACCTGACGTTTTTTGTTTTAACCCCCCCCCCCCCCAAAAAAAAAAATATTTTTCTTTTTTTAACAATTTTGAACACCCCCCCCCCAATTTTTTTTCTTTCTTATCGATTTTGAGCAGATAAGGTAACTCAAACTGTACAGGAATTAACTCTTGGATAAATGTTGAGAAAATGAAAGCTCATATTGTTTTTATAATTCCCGTGACATCGAAGACTTGCTGCTCCGTGACTTAATAATAATGTCCAAATAAATCACCAAAGAGGATACCCATGTACAACATTTTGATAAAAATTTTTGAAGACCATATAAGTAAAGATTCTTTTACATTATGTGTGACATTTGGCCAAATTATGTCGTGAAATATTTTTTTTCTGTGCAACAAGTCCGCGTAATTTTTGAACGACTCTCATATTTACAGTCTGAGAGTTGTTTGTAAAAATCTACATATTCAGAATATCATAAAACAAATATTTTCCATTGCTTACCATGAAGAAAAATCATGTTTTTGACAATCTGACTGTATGTTTTTGCTTTAAATCAAAAAATGACAAATGATTCTACATACCAAGCTTTTAAAGTTACTCCCTTCTATAATTATTAATTCGTTAGTTTCACATAAAGTATGATCTAATGATTTAATACATACAAGAAAATTTCATTTTCCTCAGTATAATCTACACAACGCACCGAGAGCCAAAGATGCGCCGTGTGCTTCTTGTCATGATCGGGAAATAACTGAACATCCGTCGACAATTCAGCGTATAAATAATGGACTAAAAATTAGTATGAAAAACGTCAGTTAATAATGTACCTTTATTGGTGATAAAAAAGAATAAAGAACTTTAACACGTTTGAGTAGAAGACCTCAAAAGTCTAAAAACAAAATAAATCTGAAACCAGGGAAAAATCAATGATTTTAGGAAATTCCTGAGATAAACTTAAGTACATAGAAAGACTAAGCACTACCAGTTGACTGGTAAAACCAAACTTGAGCCCTATTTATTCATCAGGTAGTTAGAAATTTTCCAAAGTAAAATTCTGCAAAAACATCCAACTATTTGTATATAAAAAGTGGACCAAAATAGAAGCTAATGATACATTGATGTTGCATTTGATTATAAGGTCATGATATCGACAGTAGAATTTACGAAACAGTGTCTTGAAACAAACTCGAGGTCAAAATACCTTTGACATCAACTAAGCTGTCGGTATAATCTGCCTCGTTTTAAAAACTGATCGTACAAGGAGCATACTGTGAAATATCAAATAAGATTGGAAATGTAAAGAAAATATGCACGTGATAGCAGAATACTGTGAGTTAAGTATGGTCTCCTTGTCTTTCAAATATGCAAGGAGCATACGGCGGCGGGTGTGACCGGTCAGCAGGGGACGCTCAATCCTCCATGGCACCTAATTCCACCTCTGATGTTTCGGAGATCCGTGTTTGCTCTGCTCCTATTTTGTATTGTTTTATGGACTTTGATATTGAATACTGTTCGTTATCTCCATATCCTTCCTTCATACAAAGGTTGCAGATTTAAATCCCAGTCTTTTGGATGAGACCGTATCAATTGTAAATGTTGAGACAAAAAGACCCCCCACCAGTGTGCAAACTACCAAGAATGGGTCCAAATTTCCAGTCCTTCACCATCAAGTTGTTGCGTTTAAATTTGAGTTGAAATGTTTTCGAAGGGACAAACAAAAAAAAATGAAAGAAAAGAAAAGAAGCACAATCTTTAGTATTTCTAATTACTGATATGTTACCCATAATTCAGTTTCAAACATTGTTTTACATAAACCCTGACAGTGACGGACTGTTGCTTCCCTTGAGATATTATAATTTTTTTTTTTTAGAACAAAGGACCTTCTCAAGGGAAAAAATAGTTATAGAGTGAATTTTAAGGAACACCATTAAACGTTTGAACTGTTTTCTGTAATATTTATTCACTTACCATATAGCGGGTTTCTTCTATAGAGGGTGTAATATTTGGCAATTTGCTTGCTCACACGTACGCCAAAAAATTTGTCAGGACTTTTTTGGCGGTCACATTCCGTGGTATTGCAAAATAGAGGAAATCCATTCTTTACAGTACCGACCAGACCCAACCTGACACCCAAGCAGTCCCAGAAAGCAGTCCCTGGGACTGCTCTGGGACCGCTGTGAGACTGCTCTGGGACTGCTCTAAAAAGCAGACCCAGCAGTCCCAGCTGTCCCTGTGACTGCTTTGTTCACTCATGTGTGGAAAAGGTTCCCAGTTGTTTTGTTTACTTGCAGCAAAGAGGAGTTTAAACTATTAGAAAAGCAAGGATTTCTTACAATCTTTTAATAAGTAGAGATTATTATAGTTAATTAATATTTTCAGAGTCTATATTTTTACATAAATGTGGTTTTTAAAAAATAAAGTTGTTAAATAAGGAAGTCTTAGGAGAAGACTAAGAAACTGTCTAAAAAACTACAGGTTTATGAGAAAAACAATATGTACATGTAGGCCTATTTTATTATTTAATGTAAAATTATGTACTCCAAGTATGCATTGGCACTATTTAAAAAAATCATTACAGTTATATAAAAGAATTTTTAATTGAAGAAGCTACACGTTTAACAAGTGTCACGTTAAAAA